TTTACTGGTTCCTTCTGCAATAGGGTTCACATTTGCCCCACTTCCCATTTTAAAGTAATTCATTATTTTGAAGTTTAAGCCGTTCTTCCTTATCCTTTTCCCACAGGAAAGAAGCTCATACCCAGGCTCACAGACACCCATGATCTCTCTTCTTTTTGAAAGTTTGGTGCTGATGCTTCCTTCTTGCAAAGCCTTTCCTGACCTCCCAAGGCTGCTTTGATGCCCCTTCGATCACCCTGCAGGATCCTGGCACCTCCCACCCACAACACCTCACACTGCACTATAATTTCCTGTCTGTTCTCCCGCTGTCCCATGACCCTTTGTTCTTTTTGAGAACAAATCCTGGAAACAGCCATACAAGCGTTAAAAAATTACTTTCAACTCAATTTCAAGTTGTGCTTTGAGAAAATACAGAAGATGAATTCAGGCCATCCCATCTCTAGAGGTCCTTGAAAATATTACCTAGTAAGACCCATGATTACCTGCCCTCATTGGCCTATGGAAAATCTGAGACTTGCTGCTTCCAGGAGTCTAGTGATCCATGAATCTTATTTGGAGTAAAAAAGGATATGTTTTTCTTTGAATTTCCCCCAATTTAGGTGTTCTGACAGACACTGAAGTAGTAATTAATTTGTGTCTTTCTTAGAATTTAATAATATTGAAAAAGCATTTCCCTCTTTCTCTCTCTTAGCTGTAAGTCCTTTTTCCTTCTCTTTTTCCCTCTTATGAATAATGGCCATTATCATATAAATTTGTTTGGAGAGAACTAATAAAAATGAAAATGACTTAGATGTAGAAAGTCAAAATGGATTCTTTGGAATAGGCATTACATAGTCACTAAAATATGCATTTGAGCCATTCAATCTTTTATTTACTCTCATTTATTTAAGAGTTCCTAAGGTGCCTGAGGAGTCTGTGCTTACATGAGTTATTTACACGTGTTGATTATTTACATGAAATTTCAACTTGGCAAAATCATAAAGTCTATTTCTATTTTTTAAAAAAGTACGTTGGTATGAATAAGAAGTGATGACTGTAACTTTGTTTTGTAGACTTCTGAACCTCAAAGCAGTGAGGATAATGGAGCCAGTTACATTGCAAGTGTTAAAAGTATAGTTTTCTTTCATCAAAAACTAAGCAGGATTATCAAGACAGAAGACTGAGTTGAGACAGTCTCTGCTAATTCATGAGACTATGTATGATAACATGATGCTGGGGATGATTATAGTAGAGTTCTCCCCATTACAACAGGGTTTTCATCATTGTAGTGGGATTCTCATCATCATAGTGGAGTTCTACAGTTCCTATTTCAAGTAGTATTGTAAAGAGCTTTGCTTACCAATTGAGCTGACAGTCCAGAAAGTGTAGTTTACAGGAAGCTTCAGAAGACTTGATAACGAAGGTTCTAAGGAAAATTGTCTAAGACCTTTAATTACTGGTTATACACTACAAATACCTGTTATGGCCTGACAGAGGGACCTGGGTGACTTTTTAATGCCATCAGGTCTCAATTCATCAGCAATGGTATGGGACTCTATGCACGATGGTGTCACGTTTTAGATGTCAGAAATCAGACTGCATGCTTATAGCATGTCATGCCAACAACTGTCGACCTAGCATGAAGGTAAGCACCAGGTATCACAGCCTCCTTACCATTGGATCAATTAGTCTCCTTGGCTATGCTCAAAGGCCATAGGGAGTCGTTAATTGTATTTTCTCTATTGTATCTTTAGGGCAGTGTTAATGAGATTATTCAAAAGACTAAGAAATAAAACATATAGTGAAAAGAGGAAAATTAGGAAGAGAAGGTATCTAAAATATACTGTGTACCTCATTTCATCCTGGGCACAAAATTCCATATTTTATTTATAGTATCTTCTTTCAATATCCCCAGGAAGGAGAAAACCAAGCTCCAAGAGATTAATGTTTACAACTTAAATCCAGGCAGAGTGATGCCCCCACTTTTTAAACATTCAAAGAATCCATGTTGCTATCTTCTCTCCCTCCTCCTCTCTCCCTCTCTTCTTAATTCTGTAAAGAAAGCATCACTTTTGGATTATTAATAGAACCAATCGGAACTTACATTGTTAAGTCCTTACAGTGTAACAGATACTGTTATTTAATCACCTCCATCTTAGAAGGGCATGCCTGGTTATTATATTCAATATGAGAAAACTGAGGTTTGGTGTGAGGTAATATGCTCTACTGTTAGAAGAGGGGGAACAGGGTGTGACTCCTTCCCACCTGACTCCAAAGTTTTGATGAAACTGAGGCTACTGCCTTATCACCTGAGTGCATGTTCCTCCCACAATGGATGAAGTGGGAGAGAAGGTTGGAAACACAGAGACTGGGTAAGGTTTTCTATCACAACAAAGATGAGAGATGACATGGGGATGGAGAGAGTAGTTTTTTTGGTAAAGGGGAAAAATCAAGGTACAGGACACTTCCTTGGCTAGCCAGAGGCCTAGGTAGACAGTGATATCATTCACCCAAGGGCAGTCTGTGGAAGGAGAGCTCCTCTGCTCAGGCCATTGCTGGGTAGGCAGGCAGATAGGTGACTCTGGAGGTCTGTGGAGAGGTCTGGACCAGGGCCTTTGACACAAGGAGTTTTCTTCATTATTGGCAAATGTGTAACAAATGCTTGCTGACTCATCTGCTCTGATTTATGATGATTAGCTTTGCAGTTGGGCCATCTGTGACCCTAAGTTCACACTTACAACATTCCCTGTACTTTATTTCCATTCTTTTCTGTCCTGAGGATGCTACCCAGCATGCTCTGCTGGGTCAGAATGCAAGTGGATAAGAATAATATGTTATTGAAAGGATTTCTTTCCCCTTATGGTTGGAGGAGCAAAAGATAATTCGCAAAGCCCCAGTTCATTCAAGGAATTATACCAAATCCCCAAAGCATTGCCTTACACATTCTAAATCAAGTACATGGCTTTTAAATGAAGGCTACAATCTCTTGGCAAAAAGTGTAAGCATGATTTATCATTCCAATCTTGTAGTCTATGTAATGCAGACATTTCACTCCTGAGACTGGTTAGTCCTGTTTGCCTTGAAGCAGACTGTAAATGTTTGAGTCGTGACCAGACAACTTGACTTTTAATGACCTGCAACCAACTAAAATAAGCACATAGCGTTATGACCATCACCAGCAAAAAACTAGACACTTCTTAGTGTCCCAAGAAACATTTTATATTCTCTGGAATTGCTTTTTAAAACTCTGATGACTTCAGAATAGTCTTCTAATATAATACTATGGAACCCATGCACAGGGAGTTGTTAAGTTTTAGACATCCAAACGGCAATCTCAAGGAGGATTCAATGTGCTTTAATTAATGCAAGGTAAATATTTGTCACTCTTGTGTTCATCAGCAGATAGTTAATTGGGGGTCATTAGCTGAAGGGAAGGCATCATCCAAGCAATGAAGCCTAGGCAGGCTCTGCTCTGACTCACAAGCTTGTCATATCTTTGACAGAATAGGGTCCACTTGATAAATGCCATGTTCAACTCCTCCTGGTGATATAAGAACTGTTCAGGTAATGTTTACAACTCCAGCCAGTAATTTCTGCATGGCAATTGTACTCAACAATGGAGAAAACTTAGAAGAATAAAAGCATAATTTTCTGAGCAAAACTAAGGGGCAAGGATTGAGGTCCTGAACACTGCTTTGGAAAAGCCCAAGAATTACTTAGAAGCAGACTTTCAACTATTAATAAACCAAAGCTGACTTTGGAGTGTGAGCCAGGGGAGCTACCAGACATAGGCAGGAGAGATAAATAAATCTGCTGTTGTGTCTTGGTGGTTGTAGCCATCATGAAGAGTGTCTGAATTTAGAGGTTGATCCTGAAGGATCACAAAACAGAGTCTAAAGGGAGCCTTTGGTGGTATCTTCTTTTATAGGGGATTTGGGGAAAATGTAAGAGGAGAAGGCTGAGTTTACTGAGGTGAGGGACCACACTCAGGAAAGGCCACAAAGGGGTCAAAAGTTCTAGTTAGCTCCAGGGCAAGGTTTGGGAGGCAAGGTCTCCCCAGTCATTTGAAGGGAGGGAGTTCTGGTTCTCACCTTGGTCTGCACAGCATTCAGAAAAATAGAGACTATTTCACCAGTGCTCAAGCAACTAAGTAGTTTTCAGTGCTAATTTATCTTCATTCTTTTTGGGAGAGGGAAGAATGACTCCCAGGGCTCTCCTGCTTTAGAATGGGAAAATGCAGAAGCCTTCTCTTGAGACTGACTTGGGGTCATGAATGGAAGGAACAAAGGTACCATATGACAAAAAGTGCAATAACTCCATTATTACACAGGTGTGTCTCTGATGCCCAGGCACTGGGTTTGTGCTATTTTCATTCAGCCTCACAAATCCCTTATAAGGAGGAGTCATTATTAACTTTTTATAAATAAGAAAATCAGAGTAATGAGATGTTTATCAATGGGTTAAGCTCACACAAGAAGTGGGCTGTAAACCATGGACTGATTCTAGCTCAGCCAGTGCTGAAACCACTTGCCAAGAGAAAGGTTCAGATTTCGTCAGAGTCACAAAACTCACTTTTTACTTTAAAGTGTTTCAGTTATCATGAAGTACATGGGTCCCAATTGACTGATAGCTTTAGTTTGATTCTTTCATCAGTGTACATTTTATGATTCTCTATTATACTCTACTGATGCCAAGCACATTTAATGTTTAACCTTAACGAAAACTCCTATTAGCAGTTCTTGTACTAAAGCAGTGCTTCCTGAAGTGTGGTCCTCAGACCAGCAGCATTGGTGAAACCTGTGGACTAGTTAGAAATGCAAGTGTGTGAGTGTTACCTGGCCTGCTGAATCAGATGCTCTGGGGACAAGATCCAGCAATTCCTGTGTCAGCCTGAGGTCAGTGGATGCTAACATTTCAGAATCACTGCTCTAAAGCACACATGGAATTATTCCCTCACATGGAAATACAGTGCCTTTAAGATTTTCTTCTGTTCATTTTTTTTCTGTAAAAAGTATTTTTACCTCATTTCCAAGTCTTCATTCTCCTGTGGTACAAATTTGTACAAGGCAACGTAGGTGTTCATCTGTAATGGGTCTTTGGAAAAAGGTCCCTAAAAGAGAAAATAAAAGGAAGATGAGAGAAGGAAGGAGAAAGAAATTGAGAGAAAGAAAATAGGAAATGGAGAAGTTACTGTAATGTAATGTCACTGTATGGGTCTTAGGTGTTAAAATACCAAGCCCTTATTAATGATTTTTTCTCAATCTTAGGTTTATTTTTCATTTCTTAACTGAGTTAAATTTCATTACAAACCATTTGAAAACAATTATTTGGAACTCATTGTGCAAAATATTGCAATTTTCTTCAAAGAATTTTTTCTTTGATATAATTGTTCATGAAAAAAATGTCACAGGTTTGGCCCCAGGAATGGGAAAATTCTCTCTGAAGAAAGAGGAACATGTGAACAGTAAGTAGTGAACAACGCTCGCTTCCTAAAACTGACTTTTTGTTAGTAGCTGGAAGTTGGTATCTCACGTATTCAAGGGCATTAGGCTCATTCACCCGGCAGTTAGCTGAAGTTTCCTCATGTTGAGGAAAAAGGTAAAGATTTTGGCATCAGACTGAGAGAGTTCATGACAGGCATCACCATCTACTGATTACAAAACTTTGCAACAGTGATAATAAAGCTACTGATTTTGATAGTTTACTGTGTCCAGACAGTGTTGTATTACTTGTATTAACATAACTGAACTTCACAGCAACCCTGCTAGGCAGATTTTATTATAGTCCCCAATTTACAGACTGTAAGTCTTGTGTCATATAAATATTAGCTATCATTACTAACAAAATAAGTTTCAATGGTATAGAAATATACATATTTTAAAATACTCAAGTTAAAAGATATAATATGTAATATATAATTGCATAATCATTTGAATATATAACATAATAAATACAATATATGTATATAAAACATAAAAGTGGTACACAACAACTATATGTATTCTTTTTTAACCTATGAGTCAATCTGCTATTTAAAACTTAGGTACCTTATAGTCTATTATTCCATTATAACTATATGCATCTATATATGAATATATAGATGTAAAGCATAACAAATATATGCCTGAATGCTATATAGTCATAATATATTGTAATTCTACAACTTACACAGTCTATAGTATATATCAACTTTCATGTAACATACATGGCTGAAAAAAGGTACACAATGCAATACTTATCCTTTTTACCTTTTATGCACTGCAACATTTCTGTTCATTCCATACTATTGTACATTATTCTATTTTATTCTCTAAAAATGCTGGCCTGGGACCCACTAAATAGATTTAATGACCCGCTTGGATGGTGACCTGTAGTTTGGTCTGAGGACTCCAGTCTGATCTGTGCTCTGTGACTTCCAGAGATACCTGGTGGTTTGTGTTCTTTGCTTGGTCTCTGAAGTCATCACTGCCATTTTCTGGATATGTAAACACTGGGGAGAAAAAAGAAAACAGGCACTTTGTGAATCCAGACATCATGCTTAAAAACACAAATGAAGGAGACCACTTGATTCTGTGACCTGTGATCTCTACTTTGCAGCTCAATGCTTTTCCCTCATCATTAGAGACCCTGCTTTCACGTCCGTTCCCTACCTTCCCATACAGCATCCTGCACCACTATCTCTGCACTCCCATGACCTCCTATACCCCTGGCCAGCACTTATCCCTGGCATCGCTGGGCAACCGTGTATTCAAAACTTGGTGTCATCTGGCAGTGTTCTCAGGAGCACAAACATGTACTCTATCCTTGTCAAATGCACTGAATCCCTTGTTAATGGGATGGCAGTGAGGTTTAGTCTGACTTAGTTGCCTTTGAACTACTATCAATGTATTGATATTTACATTCAATATCTTTGTTGGAGTTCCTTAATGGTATCTATACTGTTTTGCATATTAAAGCTTTAGTTTTGAACTCCAAGATATGCCCCTGATCTCTTACTTTCAAAGCGCTGAGGCTATTATTATTCTTGTTAGTAGTTTACTCTTAGAATACTCTTCTTTTGCATTTATGTAGTCACATTGAAGGAGATCTTTGTTAGAGAACATGCCTTCTCCCAATGAGCAGTTTTCACTCTCCACAAATACAGCTGTGGGAGGTCCCTGATGGGCTTTGTGAGTTTGATTAGCCACAGCCTTATCACTCTCAACAGATGTATCTTCCTTAAATGACAACATGGCAAATATTTCCAAATTTATACAATAGAGTTGTGATGTCTAGATTTATCTACCATTTAAATGACTTGGCATTTAAAAGTAACACATTGTTTCTTTATTTTTCCCTTCTAGTTATCAGAAAAGTATCAGCAGAGGGATGGATGCCACTATGGAAATTGACATGTTTCAGAACAAAAGCCCACATGAAAGTACTGAAGCTTATTAAATATGTGTTTTACTCAGTTTATGGTTGCAGAGTTTATGATGCTATTCCATTTCTCAGAGGAGGCCCATCTGCAGTTATTGATGGAGTTCTGGTTTATAGTAACTGGAAGGTAAGGCCCAATTCCATGGGTCATGTCTGCCTCAGTATTTGGCCATTTGGGCAACCATTTGGTGTTGCCCAGATTAACAAGGATAGAGACCAAACACACCCATTTTTGGTGTTGTATCATTTTCTGTAATCCTGGTGTAAACACTTTATTCTATAAACATAAAACTGCATTCTTCTGCTGGGATTCTATTGAGGAAGTCTTTGCCTATACCTATTAGTTCCAGAGTGTTTCCTGCTCCTTCCTGTAGTGACTTCAGAATTTCAGGTCTGATATTTAGGTCCTTGTTCCATTTTGAGTTGATACTAGTACAGGGTGATAGACATGGATCTAGTTTCAGTTTCTTGCAGACGAGTAACCACTTTTCCCAGCCCAGCAACTAAGAGAAAAGATGGACAAATGGGACTTCGTAAAATCAAAAAGCTTCTGCACAACAAAAGAAATAGTCTCTAAACTGAAGAGACCACCCACAGAGTGGGAGAAAATATTTGCCAGCTATATATCAGACAAGGGACGGATAACCAGAATATATAGGGAATTTAAGAAACTAAACTCTCCTAAAATCAATGAACCAATTAAGAAATGGGCAACTGAACTAAACATAACTTTCTCAAAAAAAGAAATTCAAATGGCTAAAAAACACGTGAAAAAATGCTCACCATCTCTAGCAATAAAGGAAATGCAAATCAAAACCACACTAAGATTCCACCTCACCCCTGTTAGAATTGCTATCATCAAAAACACCACCAACAACATGTGTTGGCAAGGATGTGGGGAAAAAGGAACCCTGGTATACTGCTGGTGGGAATGCAAGCTGGTACAACCACTCTGGAAAAAAATTTGGAGGCGTCTTAAAAATCTAAACATAAACCTGCTATATGATCCTGCAATCCCACTCCTGGGGATATACCCAAAGGAATGCGACACAGTTTACTCCAGAGGCTTCTGCACATCCATGTTTATTGCAGCACTATTGACAATAGCCAAGACATGGAAACAGCCAAGATGCCCCACTACTGATGAATGGATCAAGAAAATGTGGTACTTGTACACAATGGAATTTTACTCAGCCATGAAGAAGAATGAAATCTTATCATTTGCAGGTAAATGGATGGAACTGGAGAACATCATTCTGAGCGAGATTAGCCAGGCTCAGAAGACCAAAAATTGTATGTTCTCCCTCATATGTGGACTTTAGATCTAGGGCAAATGCAGCAATGTGGTTGGACTTGGATCACATGACAAGGGGAGAGCACATATGGGAGATATAGGAATAGGTAGAAAACCCAAACCATGAAAGCGTTTGACGTCCCCACTCCAGAGGAACTAATATAGAAACCTTAAAGGGACAGAGGTTAACATGAGAAGGGGATCAGGAACCAGTGTAAACTGTTGGTGGGAATGTAAACTAGTACAACCACTCTGGAAAAAAATTTGGAGGCTACTTAAAAAGCTAGACATTGATCTACCATTTGATCCAGCAATACCACTCTTGGGGATATACCCAAAAGACTGTGACACAGGTTACTCCAGAGGCACCTGCACACCCATGTTTATTGCAGCACTATTCACAATAGCCAAGTTATAGAAACAGCCAAGATGCCCCAGCACTGACGAATGGATTAAGAAAATGTGGTATCTATACACAATGGAATTCTATACAGCCATGAAGAAGAACGAAATGTTATCATTCACTAGTAAATGGATGGAATTGGAGAACATCATTCTGAGTGAGGTTAGCCTGGCCCAAAAGACCAAAAATCGTATGTTCTCCCTCATATGTGGACATTAGATCAAGGGCAAACACAACAATGGGATTGGACTTTGAGCACATGATAAAAGCGAGAGCACACAAGGGAGGCGTGAGCATAGGTAAGACACCTAAACAATTAGCTAGCATTTGTTGTCTTTAATGCAGAGAAACTAAAGCAGATACCTTAAAAGCAACTGAGGACAATGGGAAAAGGGACCAGGAACTAGAGAAAAGGTTAGATCAAAAAGAATTAACCTAGAAGGTAACACACACACACAGGAAATTAATGTGAGTCAATGCCCTGTATAGCTATCCTTATCTCAACAGCAAAAACCCTTGTTCCTTCCTATTATTGCTTATACTCTCTCTACAACAAAATTAGAAATAAGGGCAAAATAGTTTCTGCTGGGTATTGGGGGGGGAGAGGGAGGGGGCAGAGTGGGTGGTAAGGGAGGGGGTGGGGCAGGGGGGAGAAATGACCCAAGCCTTGTATGCACAATGAATAAAAAAAAAAAAAGGAACCAGTGTAAAGATCAGTTAGAGATGAATCAACATGGGTTGTAACACATGTGTACATGAAATCAATGCTAGGAATATTTCTGTATAGCTGTCCTTAACTGGCAAAAATGCTTTGTCTTCTTTATTATGCTTATGTCTTTTCTTCAACAAAATTAGAGATAAGGGCAGAACAGGTTCTGCCATTTGGTTCAAAATGTGTAGCATTTTTTGTGAACTATGCTGAAAATTGTTTAAAATGACTTTAAATGTGTTTTCAGATGTATGGTTGCAAGAAGAACTGGAAGGGTGCAGCATGATTTTTTTTTTTTAATGCAGTCCTCCAACCTATTTCTCAGACTTTGATTTGAGGAAAGAGGAGAAAAGTAAGGTAACTATTTTACTAAACTATATCAATTCTTTTATAGAAAATAATTTGGTTGCTTATTTCACCTATGGAGATGTTCAAAGAGTATGTCCATTATGCAGGAATAATTTCTTTTGTTACAGAAGCAAAACGAATCTTTCACTACATCCTAAAAGGCTTTCTTGTTTTCCTTTTCTATGCTCTTTCTATTTTACCTTGCAAACTTGTGAATCCCATGTCCACCACTGTCTCCTGAGATGATTATTTGGCTTTCCTTTTGTAACATGGTAATATGGCAAGTTACATTACTGAATTATCTGATATTAACCTAAATTTGGGAACCCAAAATAAGTCCAATTTGGTTATATGTAATATCCTTTAAATCCCAGTAGTTAAGCCTACTGGGATTTTGTTTCAGATTTTTAAGAGGGACACCAGCCAGTGATTTTCCCTTCTCCAGCCTTGTTTGGTTTTACAGTCAGTATTAAAACAGCCTCATAAACCAAGTTAGAGAATGTAGTCACCCTCTTCCTGCTGCTTTGTTTCTCTGAAAGAGCTTATGCAATCTGGAGATTTTCTATTCTTAAATGTTTGGTAGAATTTACCTATAAAGTTGTCTGGGCTTGGTATTTTTACAGTGCAAAATTTTAAATCTTGATTTGGTTTCTATAAGGATTAGAAACAAATCAAATTTTGTATTTCTACTTCTTCAAGTCAGGCTTTAGTCATTGATATCTTTTGGGTGTCAACCCATTTAGAAAAGGTTTTAAGAGTTTATCAGCTTGGATTTTGTGATGACATTCTTTTCTTTTACATCTCTGTTGTTTTTGTTTCATCTTTTTCTTCTAAAAATGTTAGAGAGTCTAAATTTATTATTTTAAAAGAACTGCTCAGGATTTATTGATCTGTCTTTGTTTACAATTTAACAACATTTGCTCTTACCTTTATTATTATTGCCTCTGTCGTTTTGTGGGGTTATTGTGTTTTGTTTTTGGATTTTTAAGTGTGGTGCTTAGATGATTCCTTTTCAGGCTTTCTTACTTTTCAATAAAACAATTCTAAAGGTAAATACCTTAATCATGACTTTAATGCTATTCTACAAGTTAGGACATACAATGTTTAGATTATTACTTAGTTTGAAATATATTACAATTTTCATTATGAATTCATTTTTTAAAAGTGTGCTTTATTTTACCAAATTATTGGTTTTCCTAGTTATCTTCTTTTTCCTTTTGATCCTTTGGATTGAACCCAGCACATTGCACATGTGAGGCAAGTGTTCTACCTCTGTGCTATTCTCCCAAACCCTTTGTCATCTTACAAGTATTTATTTCTACCTTATTTTGACTTTGGATAGAAAGATGTGTTCTATACGATGCTAATACTTTGAAATTTATGAAGCTTGTTTTATGGCCTAGTAGGTATTGAATTTTTATAATTATTCCATGTGTTCTTAAAAAGAATGTGAGTCCTCCACTTGTCAAATGCAGTACACTTTTAAATCAATTAGATTGTGAAATGTGTCACCTAATCATCTATATCAACACTGAATCTTTTTGTCTTTCTTTGCTCTTCATTTCTTCTTTTGTCTCAGGCTTTTTGTTGAGGTTGCTTTATTTATGATTCTGGGTTGAGTGACTTTACAGCATATTGAATATAATTTTCCTATTGTTTAGTATCTATTGCTATTTCTAAGAAGCTGTTCAGATAATTTCCATTCCTTTGTACATAATTTGTCTTTCAGCCTGCGTTTAATGCTTTTTTTTGTCTTTGAAATCCTTCAATTTCACTAAGACATGTTTAGGTATAGATTTCTGAATTTGAGGAATGGTGTCTCTAATCAGTTCTGGACCATTCTCAGCCACTAGGTTCTTGAATATTTTCTCACTCCCATTCTTTCTGTATGTACTTCACTTAGATGTATGCTGGACTTTCTTACTTATCTTTTTTTTCTGATTCCACTGCTTTGTGCCTGCATATGCTATACTTTCGTTTAATCTACATTTCAGGGTGCTTATTCTTTCCTCAGTTATGTCTAATATGCTATTTAATTCATAAATCATATTTCTACTTTAAAATTATCTAGTTCTATTTTGTTTTTCTTCACATTTTCAAATTTGAAAGTGTCTTGTTCCTTTGTTACATTTTCCAGTCTATTTGAAAATATTTTGAGCATATAAAACAATATAGTTATATTTTTTGATAATTTTATCATATATAGTTTCTGAGAGTCTGATCATAAAATTAGGTATTATAGCTAACTCCCACTCCTGGTGGCACATTTTCATGTTTGGTGAATTTCAATTATTAGCTCATGTTCTTTGAAAGTTCGCAATGGGGAGTTTTGATGTCTGAATTTGAATTTTCTTCTTGCAGAGGAGGATTGCATTTGCCTCTGCTAAACGAATGATGATCATATCACATTTCATTTTTTAAACTAAACAAAAATTTCTTATTATTTTACTTTGTTCATACAGGTATGATAAATTGAGTTTCAGACCCTAAACCCAAGTAAGAAGACTCCCTCCCTCCTTTCCTTCCTTCCTTCCTTCTTTTCTTTGCTTCCTTTCTCCCTCTTCTCCCTCATCTAAACCATCACCTCCACATTCCCCAGGTTTTGTCCTCATTGCTCATTCATAGGACCTATTATTACTCAGGTTGAGGCTCTAGGACTATATGGAGTAAACACTGATTTTTCTGGTAGTTCAACCTGCATTAAATAGAAATTTTTCCCAACAGTTTTAGGAATGCTAATTTGGGAAAAATTTCACTGAGCACCCAGCCCTCCAAATTGTTGGAATGGGAATCTTCTGTGCTTTTAAAGAGATCTTTACCTGTGCTAGATGCTAGGTTTGTGTGCAGAAAACATCCTAAATAGTTGCATCTGCAATTTAGGAATTGTCCACTGGAGGGTACAAGAATTAGGGGCATTACCCAGTTGACACATTAAATATCTGTTTCTTTCTTTCTTTTTTTTTTTTTAATGACTACTTAAAATTTGAAATAGAAAGTCAATGTGTGCTAAAGGCAAGAATAAATTTCCAAATCTGAGCTTGTCTTTTTCTTTTTCTGGGCACAATTTCTTTGCTTAAGTGCAAAATAAGCTGATATTGGGTTTGTAATAGCCTCAAGGGCGCATGATCAGCCCAGTCGTTTTATGAAGAAACTTTTCAGAAATTTGTGTTTCTGTGCCCTGTTTCTCTTCTAGGAAAGCTGTGATCACAAAAGGTCACACTGAAATACAATTATTGAGGGCAGTCAGTATTATTTGGCATTTTGCAACCTGGATTTTGCTCCTCCCTTTGCTTATTATTTTGTTATGAGTGATGTTTCTAACAGTTACGACAAAGGTGAAGAGCAACAATTTTCCCCATCTATGTCTATGATGTATCCAGGAATAGTACTGAAAACAACTGGAAACACTCAGACCTGCCTGAGATAATTTATAAGAGAGAAACAGAGACTGAGTCTTAGCAGTAAAGAAATTAGCATGAATTATACCCTCTTCTAAGGCGGATGTAGCATAATTCATAAAGAAATCTGACATAATGTCTGACCGGAAGAAATAACCTGTGTGTTCGGTAGGTATGTTTTTAGGGCATAAATAAAACATGTAATAACCAGAACTGGCTGTAACTAGGATCCCAGACACTGCTGCTGAAAAGCCAAATTCTCTTTGCCATGACTGACCCTTAGGAAACTGGATCACATGAGCAAGGCGTTTTCTCAAACTATAGGATGGGTATTAAAATCAATCAAAGAAAAATATTTTGAAGCAAACTGCTGCATAACTAATCCCTATAACTTCTAAGGGTACATTGCAAAGAGTGCTATTGCTGATCAAAGGAATTATTAATAGTACTCCAAAGCTTTTTGGAACTTTATAGCTTGCAAAATTCTTTCAACAGATCTCTCTCTCTCTCTCAGAAAGGCCTTTCTGTGTAGCCCTGGCTGGTCTCAATCTTGCAGTCCTTTCTTAGCTTCCCAAATGCACTACCACACCAAGTTCAAACAGATCTCTTTTAATAAAATTGTACCTTAACATAGAAGAGACAGAAAATGATCAACTTTGTGTCTTTTAGTGTATTACACTGTGCCTTAGTTTCCTTATCTATATGGTATGTGGTGTGTGTGTGTGTGTGTGTGTGTGTGTGTGTGTGTGTATCTGTTGAAGGGGAGGGAGTTAGATCAAATAACTTCTACTTCTCAAACTTTAATGACTATACAATCACAAATTTATATGCAGATTCTGACTCAAGAGGTCTAGATGACCTGAAGTTCTGCATTTCTAACAGGCTCCCAAGTGAGGCCTTCTCTGCTGGTTCATTGGTCACATTTGGAGTAGTGAATCCCTAAGAAGTATCTCTCACCTTATGAGGACTTTGTCAATAGCAACCATTCTTCATACAAATGATTCCTAAGTATAGCTTTTCACTTTAGAAAATCCTATTAAGACTACCTTTTTAAAGAAGAAATTTCCAAGGTAAAGGGAGGTTTTAACTACTAAAGCGAGCAATGGACATCTATGGAGCTAGACCAGGATGGCTGAGGCAGAGTTAAACAGTGGGCATTTGATGGGCATATTTCTGAGAAGTTGCAGAGGGATTTGCTGACATATTAGATATGAGGTACGAGAGGAAAGGGTCTTCAGGGTTGACACCAAAGACTTTGGCCTTGTCAACTGGTTGAGTGGATTTCCTATTTACTGAGAAAAGACAAGTTGTAGGAAAGGTTTATTTGGATTGGGGGAGGGCTGTGAAAGATAAAGAGAAAAGCTGTGCCATATTCAGAGGTCCATAACCTGTAAGCTACAGGCACCTGGAGGCAGTGAAGAAGCCTAATGCTGGAGAGGGTATGAATAGTATTTACATCTGTTACCTCATTCAAAGATCACAGAAACCCTATGGTTTCGTGTCATTACTGTTTTTATTTTAGAGATGGGGAGCCTGAGATGGAGGGATGCTAGTTAGGTACCTCAAGGTCACTACTAAGTAAAGCCCAGCATCTTGTCTCCAGAGCAGGAGTGCACCTAGAATGAGATGTCCAGTGCAATTAGTGCAGAGGAGGCCATCAGCCATGTTGTTGAGAGGGTGTTGACAGAAGGACAATGGCAGAGCTCAGATTTGGGACTGAATGGCTGACCAGATTTGGAGCATGATTGCGCAAGTCTGAGATATATATTAGTTTCTGGTTTGTTAATTTTTCAGATATTAGACTCTGGAGTTACTGACCATTTTCAGTTGGTGGACCTGTATGTCAAACAGACTTGGGTTAGGATGGCCCTGCAGTGTTACTCTGCACTGTGAACTTTCCCTGGAAGATACCCTCTAATGTGTCTCTGTAATGGTACTGCTAAGTGCTCAGGTTAATGTTTGCACTGATCTAAAAGCACAGTTTTGCATGTGATGCTAAAGAATCCTTACCTTAGCAGTGAGCATTAGCAAATGTGTGCGGGCTTGGCCTGGGGTCATGGTGAACATCGATGCTTATTTAGAAAAGAGGGTCATGAGGCCAGCTAAGCACATGGTGCCTTGTGGGACACACACAGCCCAATCCTAACTAGAGAATTCCTGGAGTAAAGGAAGTGGAAGCCAGACTTCCTAAGACAACTTCAGTAAAGGGGTCTATGTGGCACTGATGGTAAGACTTCTGCCTTCAGGCTGGAAAAGGTAAAGGACTACTCAAATGGAAAGTCTATTCAAAGCAGCCTGTCTCAGGCTTGCGTGCAGGGACTGGAGCCTAGAAGGATGATGTCTGTCCTGGAGTGATGATGTCTTCCATGAGGATGCATTTGCTCAGCACAAGTCAGAGCCTACATCCTTGCTATTTTGTGAGCAAATGAGGACAGGTTTTGTGACTGATGAACTTTTGCTAGAGACAGTAACTGCTTCATAAATGCCATATAGGCCTGGCTGTGTATCTTCATTTTCTGGCTCAAGAGGTTACTACCTCTTTATTAACATTAGCAAGCAATACTATATAGTTAGCATTTAATAAATGTTTTAGAAATTATTGTGACAAGAGTTTAGCTTTTAGAAGATCTAATAATATTAATAAAGAATATCTGGATGGATAATGCACATTGGTTTTTAGAGTGTAGTTGTTTCTGTCAGGGAAGGAGCTAAGTGTGAGGATCATTTTCCCCGGGATGTCACCACTCTTCACCTGGTTTCAGATGTCTCAGGTATAGTAGACCTCTGTGTGGTAGGGTTTCTAATCTAGTCTAGGTCAGTGGAGGAAATAACAAATTCACAACATGGCCTGGAAGTGACTCTTAAACTTCAGTATGATCAAGTCTGTAAGATCTGAGAACATGGGAGACAGAAGTCAAGGAAATGTTGAGTTGGTTCACCAAATCACCTAGAAAATATGCCCAGTTTCCTTCCAAAATATTGGTCTCTTGTCCATATGTCATTCACAAGCTAGAAGAGAAAGATAGGGGACTGGAAGTAGATGCAGCCTGTCTGCCAACCCTGATGTGTGCTCACATTCTTGATGGGCAGTCCCCTTGCTCACCACTGCTGCTGCTGCGCTTCCTCAGGTCGGACCCATCTCCTAGTGTATCGGCTTCTTCAGGAACCTCCACAAGGTCTGAAGTCTTGAAGAAAAGAGGAAATAGCATGGAATGAGCAATGGTTTTGATATTAGTAAAAGAGCTAAAGTGGAATTTGCATGACACTTATGAATCCAGTTATTGTTGCATTGTCTCTTTGACTGACTTCAGAGACTCTGTGTCCTCTCTTGGCACTGTGCCTCCCGTAGGGTGTCGGTGGAGGCTCAAACTTGGCTATGATAGTGTGTGTTGGTTGAACACTTTGATGCACAGGCCACAATCAGGCTTCTTCCCAGGAACAGAACAGAGATAAGTCAGTATTCCTGTCCATGTCCTGTTGTTTAAAAAAAAATTTCAATGAAACTATAGCTCCTTCTGTAGGTGAGTAAAATCTTAATCATAGGGCATAGGATGCCCTAATGAGGGGTGCACTATAAGTTAAATGCTGTTTATGTTACTGCAAAAATCAATTTTTTGTAATATTCATTCTGTTTTTTAAAAAGGAGAAGTCATAATCATTCTTCTACTTAGGTTGCATACAGAAATAACAAGGACAAGAACAACAATAGTGGCAGGAGTTACTTTACATAACTAATGATTCTTTACCATGCACTATTTTTAAGTTCTTCATGTATATCATTTTATTTATTCCCTGCAATAGGTTGATATAGATCCATTTGTTAGATAGGAAATGTTAAGAGTCAGTTTATCCAAAGCCCAGAGAGAATCACTGAGCTTACTCGAGGTCTCATAGCAATGAAGTAGTGGAGTGGTGTAGTGAACTGTGTATTGCCCCCAGAGCTCCTGATCCAAAGCCCAGTGCTTCAACCCATGGTGAACTGGCTCCATGGGCTGGCGAGAGCCTTCAGGCTCATCTTTGGTAGCAAGGAATTGATCATGGTAGTATTTACACCATGGAAATTGGCAAATATAACAAGTCAGGTCCTAACTCCAAGTTGGTGCTTAAACATTTACCAGCACTTCACTGACTGCTTCTCTCAAAGGTCTCTGTCCTCCCGGCTTCTTCCTCTTCAGAGAGGAATTTAAGAGCCTCTCAGGCAGGTCACACTTTACAGAACCATTTATATGTTATCAAAGAGGAACAAGTTTACCTTCTTGCTCTACTAGTCAGCCCTCAGGTATTGAGCAGCACCCTCCAAAACTGATTTTTGTTATAGCTTGTGTTTAAGCAATTTAGGCATTTTTACTTTCTTGACAAATCAGAAAGCAAAGAGAAATAAACAACACTGGGCCTCTGAGTCACTTGACACTGCTCCCTTTGACGCTCATGATTTTTGTACAAAAGTTCTTCTGAAGAGAATTTCATTTATTTTATTTTAATATTATGAAATTTAAGATTATTTATAAACTAGCCAACTAACTCCCAGAATGGTTTTTTTCTTTTGAAATTTGGTTTCTGCTGGCCTCCCCAAAGTCATCAAGCCTTTATATTTTAGAACATTTGAAAGCATATTAAAAAAAACATAACAATTTGCAAACAGTCAGGCAGTTAACTTCTCAAAAATGTTAAACAAATGCCTCTACAGCCCCTGGAAGAAAATAAACCCATGGATCAAACTTTGCTGTGTGGGAATATGTTAGCTTTAGGACACAACAGTGCTAAAAAATGGCAAGGGGCTGAAGTTCATTATCACCTGACCCTGCAGGAAGGAAGGAAAATCGTTTTAAAATACCAATCAATTGTGTCTGTGTTCTTTATTGAGGCAAGTCAGACTTTAGGGAAAGAGTGAAGTGACAGATATTTAGGTACAATTTTATTTGTCTTTGTCTCCCTGCAGCTGTCAGCACACTGCAAAACCCCAAGAAATATTTTATTGACCAAACCAGTACTAATGTAATTGGACAGTGATGGATGGCATCTGATTGACATTCAGAAGCTATGAATTTTGTCCCTAAAGTTGTACTCTTGGGTCCAGTTGTTGCTAGACAAAAGCTATTTTAGAGATGAAAGCAAACTTCAATTGTCTCTTGGATGGTCTTGCTGCTTCTTAGCATCAGTCAAAAAGGTAGAGACTGAAGTGTTCATTGCCTTCTATGGAATGTGCCTGAGATGTCTCTTTGTCATAAGTTCTGTGAAGCAGTCTTTCATTGTGTCATCTCAGGGTGGTGGTGGGGACTCCTCTCTGCCCTTGCTTCTCTGGGGTGACTTTCCATTTGCCATTCTACCAATGTTGGCCTCATACAAGCATGGGAGATGCTTGTGCTGGAGTGGAATGAGGATATATTTATTGGCTCTCACTAGAGATGGGAGAGAATGCAGGTCAAAGTGGCTTCTGCTCTGGTCACTTTTATTTTGTGCTTTTCTTTTGGTTTTCTGGAAGGTAATCCTGACTTGTAAGTAGGGAGGGCTGCAGGCTGCAATCCAGCTCTCCTGGTTTAGGGGAAGCAAATTCACAGGCAGCCATGGCTCTTCTTACTCCCTAAGAAAGATATACCATGGTTTGTGGGGTTAGGGAAATGGTTAGAGTTCTGCAGGCTCTGTTCCAAACTTGACATTTACAGTGACCCAGCAAGCTGTTCACACACAAAGAGAGCAAAAGCCAGTATGAGCAAGGAAGGGAGGATATGAGAAAAAGAGAGGGGAGATGGCAGGGGCTGATTTCCTTGAAAGCAAACTTAAGTCCTTAATTTAACTCAGTAATTGTCAAATTTTAATGTGCATTAGAATCACTTGGAAGGTTCGTTTCTGGTTCTGTAGGACTGAGTGGGACCCATATTTGCATTTCTAACAAGTTTCCCAGGGACACTGATCCTGCCCAGCAGTGATCACTAGGCCATTCACTAAGAACCAGTGACTTAATTCATTGCCAGCTTTAGGTTTTTCTTAGAAGTTTAGGGTTTGATGAAAGTGTTCATTCACCATGTATTTAGGGAGAATCTACCATGGGCCAACACTGTATAGATCAGTGGTTCTCAAATTTTGGTGGTGTTGGAATTACCTGAAAGCTGGTACAATTCAGAGTCCCAGGGTAGTTGAAGTGGGACAGAACCTGGGCTTCTTCATTGTTGTGAAGTTCTCCAGTGAATTCTGATAGCCACCAAAATTTGAGAATTGCTGCTTTAAGATAGTGGAAATAGAATGTGAAAAGAATCCTTGCATTTAAGAAGGATTTGCATTATTGTTGCATTTAGGCTTAGTCTATTCAAGGAGAGGACTTGAGAAGAGAGAAAAAATAAACAAAAAGGTCATGGATTAATGAACTGGTTGTTATGGGAAACCAGGGAAGAGGTGTCCATTCATATCAGGATAGCAGAGGGATGCTATCTGCAGAGAGCCAGAGATACAGTGTAGGGAACTGCACAGAGCCTGGCTTTCCAGAAAACTACAAACTGCTGGAACTTAAGGTGTGAAAAAAGAAGCACTGTGTGGACCCCTGTGGATTCTGAGGTCAGTCTCAAGAGTCCCTTGTTCATTCTTCCTCATTCTTCAAGTATTTTTCAAGTGCTCGCTGTGTGCCAGGCAATGTCAAGTCCTGGCATAATGATATAAATAAGGAAGAGGCCCTGACATGTAGCTACTTGTGTCTAGTTCAGGAAGTAGAAGTGGACGTAAAAGTGGATGGTTACAGTGCAGCCACGTGTATCCTATGAGGAAGAGACTCTTGAAGCAACTTGTCGTGACGGGGAGACAGGGGACTCTTCATGGCTTGTGTAAAAATCAAGCTATGTCTTAAGGAATTTCAGCTGCAGGGAGGCAATATATTCTACGACACAGAGATGCCAAGATCTTTCAGTTTAAGGGAGGTGGCTTTGTAGGATAGTGATAAGCCTTGCAGTCCTTGTGTAAGGAGTTTGAGTATTGTCCTCCCAGTGTAAGTGACTCAAAAGTGTCTTGATTAGAAAAGTTGCACGAAGTCTTTAAGGAATGTTAAATGTTGAGATACTGTTAAAAGTAGACTTAAAAGGAAGAGAGTAGTGCAAATATTCCTTTATAATAATCTGGTAGAGATGACGTGGCTTAAACTTCCAGCACTGATGACAGAGAGGAGTTTTGCATTTAAAACCCAATTGCCACTGAGGCCTGAATGTGGCTTAGATGTTTTCATTTTGCAGGATCTGCAGGACTGGTCTGGAGCTTGGGCAAGAAGTTTAAGACTAGAAGTAGCTAAGGAATCAGTTTAGGAATGATGGCTGGGAAGTGGAATGTACAAAAGATCAACCAAGAAGAACATATAGGACAAGAAACTCAGCAAAAGCAGACCCTTAGGAATTCCTCAACTGACAGAGTGACCAGAGGACACTCCGGCAGATAGGGTAGCAGAAGAATAGAATGGAACCTTGAGTGGGAGTGGAGTTTCCAATAGAAACTGAGAATAGGTCCTGTGGAAGGGTGGCTCTTTTCAGATCATATATTTGCCTTGTTAATGTATCACACCCTTGTTCAGCTTTATAATTGAGGTTCAAAGAAAATTGTACCAAGGAACTGAATATCTAATGAAAATAAAGTGGCAACTTCCATTTATTGAGTGTGAATTATGTCAGGCCATGTATATCATTATATAATATACACCTTATGGGTCTATGATTATTATATATGTTATTATAGTCTCACTCATGTAGCCATAACATGTTTGAAAACACTGATGTGATATGTCACTTAACAACAGAGATATGTTCTGAAAAATGGATTATTAGGTGCCTTTGTCATTGTATAAACATCATAGAGTGGACTTATACAAATCCAGGTGGTGTAGACTACTGCATACTTAAGCTCTATAGTACAACGTATTGCTCCTAGGCTACAAACCTGTTCAGAATGATCCTGTCCTAAATACTGCAGGCAACTGTAACACAATGATAAGCACTTGTGTTCCAAAACAGAAAAAAGGTACAGTAGAAATACTAGGTGATAGGAATTTTTCAGCTCTGTTTCTAATCTTATAACTTCATATACATATCTGTCTTTCTATCTATATCTATCTATCTGTCTACCTATCTGAAGCCCCCTATAGCCTCATCCTATATATATAAACCTCATATATGTACTCTGTGATTGATTGAAACATTGTTACATGATGCATGACTGTAATATAAATCCTACCCATACATATTTTGTGTTTTAAATAACAACTAGCACCATTTCTATCATTCTTTTAGAAAATGAATTGACATTATCTTTTGAACTAGCCAATGATAATGACTGTCATTCTGGGGAGATCATCAAGATTCAGGTACCTTAACATGTTACAAATTGTATCCCACTTCTTTGAGGACACATCTACTGAAGCTAAATATTTTCCATTTTACTATGAAAATCCTTTAGCACTCATTATACTTATTATACTATCCTTAACGTATATTATGCTGTTATTTTAAATAAAATAGGGTAAGACAGATAAAAGTATATCTTTAAGAAATGTGAAACAATGTTACCATTATCATCTTTCTTCTCTATTGGTTTGGTATTCAGAAATAATTTTTGAATTTAGGTATAGAACCATGTCCTCTTCTGTGTCCCCTACAGTGCTAATAAATGTAGGCTCTCTGTTCATGTTTGCTGAGGAGAGGAAAGAACTAATTGACATCAATTTTATGCACTTTCCAGGGAAAAGAGTGAAAACCAGTTTTGGTTCTTCCTTCTTAAAAGTCAGTGGAATGCCTGAAGAACGTATCTTTTAGAAAGTTTAAAGATGGCTTCTAGGATAACCTTATAACATCAGTCAAAGGACCTACAAACCTACCTACTCACATACCTGACCTACATCCCTATTCACCTCCTTGTGCCTCATCCTATCTTATGGACTGACCTGCACCCAGTGAAAAAGGTGTTCCAACTCAGCCCTGAGAATCCTCCCTGAGGCCTCCTTCCTCCCACAATCCCTCCAATATTATAATGCTGAGAGAACCCAGTGGCGTAGACCATTTGGAAGCTTATCTGGGTCTTGCCCCAAAGTCCCCACTCCAGCAGAGGCTGTGACAATGAAACCAGCAACTGGATGAAGGCAATGTTAAGTGACAGCATGAACTGGAAAGTCCTCACCTCTCTGCAGGAGTTTATGGCATTTTGGAGTATTTGTAGAAATTCTGAAATGGGAAGCCAGAGAGAAGATGCTAACAAGTCACACAATCAGTTTAGATCAGATCAAATTTAGGAGAGTTGGTGTGTGGCTCAGGTCTATAATCTTAGCTACTCAGGAGATTAGGAGGATGGCAGTTCTTGGTCAGCCATGGGAAAAAACTTAGCAGGACTCTATCTCAATCAATAAAAGCTGGGCATGCTCCTGTCAGCTCAGCCATGCAGGGAGCAAAAGTAGAAGGAGGATCCAGTGCAGGCTGGCCTGGGCACAAATACAAAACCTTAGTCAAAAAAATAATTAAAGCAAAAAGTGCTGGAGTGTGTCTTGAATGGTAGAGTACCTTCCTAGCAAGTGCATGGCCCTGGGTTCAAACCCAAGTACTGCCAAAAGGGTGAGTGCTCCTTAGAGAGGGGTCCCACTGAGTCACAGGACAAAGGTGAAATTAAGGGGTGTGTCTTGTCTTAGAAAGGACTGAGAAAATATGAGAATTAATTGCATCTTTTTATGGGAAGCAGCTAGAAGAAGAGCTGGAAACAGCCAGGACTTCCCTTGCTTTTTCCCTTTATTGAGCCAAGTATTTCTTATGTGTTGACTGATGTACTATCTAGTACTGGTGGGAGGGTGAAAGGGAGCACATGCATGGGAAGAGTCATGAACGACGGTGGTCTTTGAGCAGGAAAGCAAAACATTTCCTGGTTGTTATCAGTAGAATATTGGCCTTGGTGGCCCAAAGCACTTTGGGTTTTCCTTTTGAGGTTGCCTGACTCTGAAAAGACCAGCCCTCAGGATGCTTTTAGGCAGAACACCTCACACTGCAGTACCTAAGCACAGCCTGGCTCTATACACCATGGGGGAACTGAGGGAGAAACAGGATAATTACAGAGGTTCTATGAGGCGAGTCAGAGCCACTGCCAGAGCTGCCCTTCTTCGTTCTCTGGGCCAGGGAAGTGCCGAAGCGGAGAGTCTCGTAGACAGGGTCCACCTTATTGCCACAAGCTGTAACAGAAGAAAAGGCTTATCTCAGAGAACCTGGACAATAAACCACCTTATCTCTTGCGTTAACAGCACCTGAGCAGTGGGTTCTGTGCAGCAGACCCACCTGGTCCTGGAGATGGTCTGGCTCTACTCATTGACATGGCCCCACACAAATCTGTCAGTACTGTGCCCAGAATGTCCACTCTGGCCCCAAACTCTTCCTGAGTGATTGATTTTTCTCTTTCATTATCCATCCCCAGAGCTCCAACTTCCAGGTTCTTCCCAGGGACCAATTTTGTTTCCTCTAGTGGAGGTTCTGCTCACCAAAGTATGAAGTCTTGAGATACAAAGTTTGTACTAGGATGTAAGTATTTTCAAAAGAATATCAAATACCAGTTTGCCTGAATTTCTAATCAAAAACTTCCTCACTTATAAATGTTTAGTTTAAAACCTGTCCCACAAAAAACAGCAAAAATAGATGAAAAGACTTGCAGAGATAGGAACAAAAAGTAGAGACAAATTGAAAGATATTGTAAAACGAATCAGCAATATCCATAGGGCATTTTGGCATCTTCATTAAAGAAAAACTGATATTCACTGACTTCTTACTCAGCATTGGATTTTATTTTTGTCACAATTACAAAAAGTAGTGATTGCTCTTCTCATTTTATAGGCTCTGGCAGGTCAAGTTATTTGGTCACAGACACAGCTGGTCAGTGGGGTAGCTGGGTGCTGCACCAGGGATGTGGGATACCACTCCATGCTTTTCCACTGCCTTGCTGCTGGCCAGGGCTGTGTATAAACAGTCTTAGGGACTTGGGCATTTCTCAGTCTTCATTAGGGAGAGGATGAAAATTTCTGGAGAATTTGGTCTACTTTATGTTTCTCTTCTAGCAAAATAATTTTAACCCAAATAGCCACCAAACAACTACACTAAAATACTCACTGCTTTTGAAGCCCTTGGAGGACAGTGGCCATTGTTGCCTTTGCTGCTAAAAACCCAGCTCAACCAATCAATATCCAACTCACCTATGGGCATAACTTCTTTAATGCATCCAAATTGTTCATGAATGAGCAAAGGGGAGCTGTAGTAACGCCGAAAACCCTTTGGCTGGAGAGAGAATGAGAAAGAGAGGGGCTTAATTGTCACCAAAGAGATGGAGAAAGCCATGTGAGAACTCTAAAAATGAGAGCAGGTGGTTTCTCCCTTTAAGATGCTGTTTTATTCTCTTAAGTCTTTAATTCACCACTGATGGATGTGTGTGAGGGATGGGGAGGAATATATGGGAATGAGCGAGTTATGCTGTATCCAGAAAGCAAGCCTCTGGCCCTGGTCTTGTCTGTCCTATTTCCCATCCTCTCTCTGTGCATTGCAGCCTCCACTCTGTGCAGGACCTTCATTATCTCCCAGGACACAAATAGACTGCTTACAGTTTACTATTGTGGTGTAATAAGATCATAAAAGGCCTGGGCATGGAAAATCAGGCCTCAGGACAGGCATAAAGTCCCCTGTATATCTGCACAGTATCACTTGGCATCATTTACTTTGTTTTCTGGATTCTGTCCAAATCTCTGGATTTGTTCATGGATTCACCCATGGTCTTTTCCTTGGCTTGTGGGACCCATGGAAACGGTGGAGGGGAGCAGGCATGGCAGGGATTAAAGAGACAGGAACACTGCATATTGCAGTAAGTGGATAAACTTCCCAAGAACCTGGACTTACTGTACCCCAGTGTTGGAAGGAACTTAGTAGCCTGAGTCTTACTAGAATCCCAACGTTCCTTGCAAGTGGTGTCCTTTGTCTAAGCACCGTGAGAGATGAGAGAGTGAAGGTTAGAGAAGCACTCCCTAACCCTAGAGGTGGGTCTTTGAGGACATTGTCTCTAGTGTTAAGCCAAAAAATACAATACAATTCCTTTTCCATGTGATAAGTCTTACATTTTTTTTGAAGAAAGATATTATGTCCTATCTAATTGTTCTCTGGAATAGACATTCTTCCACAATTAGTTTGAAATACCCTCAAAAGTGCTTTTGGTTAATGTGTGGCAGCAGGACTGAAGCCCATACTCCTGAGGTGGTATTATTGGAATGTGCCAAGACTGTCTGGTCCTCCTTGGTTTGGTCAATATGGTTGTGTTACAGTGAGGCAGACTTTTATTATGTAGTGCACTTTGGTTGGGGTTAGCATCCTTGACATCCACTGAGTGATAGCACTAAATAACCAGTCACTTTATTTGCTGGGGGCAGAGGTGGTTCCAAATATGCATGAATTTCATTCTGAAAACCAAAACAGTGCCAGTACAAGGGACCTGCAGTGCTGAAACTGAGAAAGTCCCAACTAGAGAAGTAGCTTACCATTAAGGACCCAGACTGCTTTAACGTGGGTCATTTTTCTATGGAGTCAAAATAGCTCCTCTTCTGCTCTATCATTGTGCCACTGAGGAAGCCAAGAGGGTAAGCCAGTGATTCTGAGTGCTTTCAGGGCTGCAGAGAAGGGGTTGGAGGGAGTGAGCTCATTGGGGCAGGCAAGAGCTCCGGGCGGGGAGCTCTGGGTTGCCTCCTGGCATGAGCCCTTACCAGCTTGCCCATGCACCGCTGGGGTGTGAGGCCATCTGCGCACTTGTGGTGGATACTCATCTTACAGGCTCTGCAGCGCAGTCCGTGTTTAGCATTTGTTCCTGTCAGGCACATGGCAAATTTCGGTTACGATGCAACCAGCCCTTTCCTAGTAACCAGTCTGAAATCACTGAAAAAGGTTATTCCTATAAGCAGATGATTATTTTCCTGGACTTTTTCCATGAAATTTTCAAAATAGAAAAAGATATTCTGGAAAATCTTTACCTCTCTTCCACATTTTTTACCTAAGGTATCATCAACTCTGCTTTCTCTCTATCTCTTTGCTATTCATGACTCCAGCAGCCTGAACTTTCTTTGTTCTCTTAATGCAAGATGGCAAAACCAAACTTCTTTATTGTTCATGTAAGTAACCCATTTCTGTTCTTCTGTGTCTTACAAAATTGTGAAGGTCCTAACATTTCACCCATTCTCACTTCCCCTCCTATCAGGGGTCTGACATCTTGGGCAAACAGATAAAGAAAGAGTGGTAGGGTGTGTGTGAGAGTGAGGCTCATGGTCTTCTTCAGTTGGGGGGAGGAGCCTCAATCAGACACCACTCCTGCCTGGGAAAGAGGAAGGGTAGATGTGATGAAACCATTGGTGCAGAATCACTTGGCTTCCTGGGCCAGGGTGCCATTGCAAGCTCAGAAGGAAGAAGGCAGTAAAGGAGAGAGGCGGCAGAGAGCCATCCTAGCAGCAGCAGTGCTGTACCAAGGACTCAAGCAGGAGCAATGGAGAAGGGGCAGGGAGGCCAGTTGGAGGGTGGGCTGTGGGAGCTTCTGAAAGGTGGCAGTACTACTGGGCACCTGCATTTATTGTTCAGAAGGTGTCAAATGACACTAAGGAGAGAACGCCCACAGGAGGAATAGAGAAAGGGAAACCTTAAAACTTGAATGTGGTGATGTGCTCACTGTAGAGGAGCAAATATAGTAATCTTAAACTGGCAGAGGCCACCATGGGAAGGTGACTGGGGAGTAGTGAAGAGGTCTAGTAGAGATGAACCAATGTGTGTTGCAATACACAAGTGCATGGAAGCAATGCTAAGGATGTCTCTGTATAGCTATCTTTATCTCAGACTAACAAAAACTCTATGTCTTTCTTACTATCTCTTATGTTTTCTCTTCAACAAATTCGGAGAACAAAAGGGCAGAACAGGTTCTGCGGGAAGCGGGGCGGAGGGGGTAGGGGAGGTGGCCCAAACAATGTATATACATGTGAGTAAATGTAAAAACGATAAAATTTAAAAATAATGAACAATAACAAAAACAAAAATGGAAGCATTTTAAAAAAAAGGTGGCATATGGAGGCTATAAGGTGTTAAAATGGGATGTTTTTTCTCTTGATTTAGTTCAGGATACTAGTTTGGCAGAATGGGGTGCAGTTTGCTCTGACATAACAAAGTGAGGTGGTAGGCTCTTGTGTAGGCCTCAAAGTGAGGTTCCAAAATAGATTATACTACTTTTAGCTGACTAAGAACCTCAAGCACACTAGAACAGAGAAGGGAAGGTGGGAGAGGGGAGAGAGGGACTCTCTGCACTTGTCTCATCCCCCTTCCTCTGCCATGATGAGAAGAGTGAAAGTGCCTTCTTGTCTCCTCAGTCCCACTGAAAGGTTTTCAGGGAGACTGTTTTCAAGCTTGGCCTATGACCTCTGCAGCATGTGACTGTGGCCTAGTGAGTCTTAAGGTAAGAGTCTTAGGAGGAGGCTTCTAGTCTATGAGAAGCAATGGCTTTGTAGGCAAGGCCCACACTCTGAAATCTTGTAAGGGAAAGGATGCATGAGGTAGAAAGTGTGTGCTTCCCAGTGACCAGCTATGGGTGATACAAAATGCTGCCCAAGAAGGTCACCTGGAGAGGCAATCAGACTCCAACCAAGTGCTCTTTAGAGTGGAGACGTAGGAATGAATGTGTCCACATTCTGTGAGGCGTGAATACACAGGTACTACACTGACCATCATGGCTGACTGCAGACCCAGGATGAGGAGATTCCAAGATCATATGCAAAATTTACCTTCTTCTCCACCACTGACTCTCATCCCTTCATCTGTTTGCTCTCTTTCTAACCCATTGTAGAGATAGTGGCAGAGTAATGTTTTAGAAACAGAATAGCACCACCTCTATCTCCTGCTTCAACTCTCAGTAGGCTCTTCCTGTCTTTCTGGTGTCCTACAGAGTGCACACCATGGTGGTAAGGGCTTTTGTCCTTCCTTCCTTCCTTCCTCCCTCCCTCTATCTCTCCTTTCCTTCCTTCCTTCCTTCCTTCCTTCCTTCCTTCCTTCCATTTTTGTACCTGGGAAGGAATTCAGGGTCTCACACATACTAGGCAAGTGTCCCACTACTGAGCGGCACCCCTGTCTTCCTATCATTCTTTTTCATATACTTTGTAGTTTATCTTCTGCACATTCATCATAATTATTTATTAAAGATCTTGCTTTTGTCTTCATCTGCCTCTGGATTGTGAACTCATGAAGCCAAGTACTGTGTGTGCTGATTTGGCACTCCATACCTTTCTCTGAGCATGAGTTCAATCAACTTGCATTAAATAAATTAAGGAATAAATTCTTTCAAAGTCCCAAATGTAAGAAAGTAATGGTGACTGGTTAGAGATAGTTCATTGAAACTGATTATTCAACAATGCAGAAGTAATATTCAAGAGCTGATAGGGGACATGAAGATCTATCTGTATTATTTAATTTTAAAGACAAGCCTGAGGATCTAAGTGATAGAATGATTTATACCAAGTCAGATGAGGTGCTACCTAATTTCAATTTCTTTCATTGCTTGGCCCAAATATTTTCTCCCTTTTTGGGGGAGGGGTTGTGGAGACGAAGTTCAGGATAATTAAGTGATAAGATAAGGAAGTGCAGGACTTGAAATTCACCTGGGAAAAACAATGGGCAAACCCTTGGATGGGCAAAGAACTAGAAACTCCTTAGAAGATGTCATCTGGATACTTCCTTCAGGAGTTCAGTGTATTTGACACAAAGCCTGTTTGCTGTCACAACCACAGATAGAAAGCTGATTGACACATAAAAGCACCATAAATTATTGAGTGTGTATGCATGTTCATAGAACTGGTTGGAGCATCTCCTCTTCTTTTGTGAATAGCCACTTATCTGAATGAGTGCTATGCTTTCAAAAAGGTGGACTTGGAAATCAATTGCTTATTTTTCATTTTCAAATTAGAGACTGTTATTTGTGCCAAATATGAGAAGGTAAGTAAAATCTTCAAAGAGGAAAGCTGTTTCATTGTGTGCTGAACCTGAAATAGTGTCATTATAGATTAAGGTATATTTTCTTTCAGACCCAAACACAATGATTTCAGTTTGTCTTGTCTGTTCTCTACACTCCACTGTTTTGTGTGAGTCAGAACAGTAGCAATTATTTGGTTTTAGTTATTTCAGTTTCCACTGTGGAATAGCAAGCATGATGGAAGAAGAAAGCTTGCATTTTGAAGTTCAGAGAATCGCGCAAATGAATGATTCACATCACAGCAGTGGCATTAGTTTACTGTAACATGGTTTGGAGAAGCCATGGTCTGACTTCTTTTTATAACTTGTGACCTCTGTCACCAATGTGTGGCTGTATGTGCCCCTTAAGCCTGAGTGGAGGGAAATACTTAGTTGTAAATTTAAATATGTCCATGCTGGCTCTTTAAACTTAAGAAAACAGCTAATATCCTGGAGCTTTAGCTATTGCATCATTGAACGGTGTCATAATGCAGATGCTCCTTGATTTATGACAGGGCTGTGTCAAAATAAACTCATCATAAGTTGAAAATATTATGAGTCAAAAATGCATTTAGTACTTTTAACCTACCAAACACCCTAGCTTACCAGCGCAGTGCTGAGAATTGGCTGTTCACCCTTGTGACCATGTGTCTGGCTGTGGGCTACAGCTCCACACTGCTGCCTAGCACCAAAAGTGAATATTTTATAGTTATATTGATAATTAGCCTGGGAAAGGATCAAAATTTGAAGTACATATTCTATTTAATGCTGACTGCATATGGCTTTTGTATCATGATGAAATTAAAAATTCGTAAATCAAATCATTGTAAGTCAGGGACTGTCTGTATGTGCAGAAGGACTGCATAGATTTAAATACCTGGAAACAAGAATATCACAGGACTCTGGGCAAACAATTGTGAACTGGCAACATGAATTATTCTACTTAATTATACTAAAATCCCACTAAAATTATAGCCCAAAAATGTAAAAGAATGGTATAAATTCCATTAAATAAGAGCAACAGGAAAAGTAAAAGCAAGTAACACTTGTTTGAAAGGTAGAAAGCAAATAGATGCATGGTAATCAATTTAACAGAAGACATGAACTTTGGATTTTTCAATAGCCTCTTGGAAACTAGAAGGCCATGGAACTTCAAGAACTGTCAAATTCCAAAATTCTGAGAGAGAAAAATGATTTCTAACAGTATTATGCCTATCCAAATATCAAACACATGTGAAGGTGGAATAAAGATGTTTCCCAAACTTTGGTATTTTAAAATATTTACTTGCAATACACTCTTTTAAAAAAAAAGCTACTAGAGAATGTGCTTTAGGAAAATTAGGGAATAAAGTTAAGAAACAGGAAAATATCAGATCTAGCACACAAGAGAAGCAACAGAGAGCATAAGGATATCCTCTACAACAGCCCTGAAGTAGCCTAGGCTGGAGCAGCAAGATGAATTAAGGCAGTAGGCAGAAAAGGAATGGAACTGAAAGTTTATTGATGTTTTGAATATTATAATAGATACGTTATTTGAAAGATCTGTGGAAGTATTTAAAAATTATAGATGCATGGAAAGTGAGGAAGTAGAAAGGGTAATTTCTAATTTGGTTAAGATAAAATGTGTATAAAGAAAGAATATAATTATAGTTCAGTATTTGAATTAGAAATTAACAATAGTTACATAGTACTTAAATATACCATCTAGCTAACACAAAATTGTAATTAAACTACTTGGGAAATGGGAGTAAAGGAGAAAGATTGTCTATAGTTCTTTTGGAAAGATCAGAGCAAGGAAGAAAGGAGCAAGCTGTGGTCTGGTGACCCAAGAGC